AGTGTTGAGTCTGTTGGGAATTTTTATCTGTGCAGAAAGTTGTCTGCTATTGCTAGCATTATGCTGTCGGATTGCTACAAGAATCCTGACATTAATTTTCATTACGTAGAAATGTGAAAATGAGTCAAAGTGTGAGATCCAACCTGTGAACGAAATGTGGCGCGAACAAAAGGCCGGAAATGTCAAAAAAAATGTCCTGGCAGCCACAGTTATGTTGTTCACATTTGCGTTCACATAGTTCACATCTTTTCAACTTCCAACACTTGTCTTGGCAGTCACATTTTTCGCATTTTCATATTTCCATTCACTTGTTCTGCCCTTTTGTTTTTGCCACATGTTTTGTCACATTTTTGCATGCTTTTCAATGTGTTGTCTTGTAGGAGCCGGCGCCACAACGCTAGCAGGTGATGATTACCTTGCAAGTCGGGCAAAGGACATGGCCTAAGGCCTTAGTGTATTATGTGAAAGCCGAGTCATGTCAAGGGTCTGCCTTCCAGGGCTTCCCTGGTACCTGCCGCAGAATATGTCAGAGACTTTCTGGTAACAATAATCATGATGGTGATGAGAAGAAATAGATGATGACGACCAGGATGAAGAAGAAGGTAGGAGTGGCAATGATTACGTAAGACACATGCACTGCAACTTCGTGTTGACCAACCAATCTATTTTTGATGTTCGAGCCGCGCTGGACGGAGGAATTCTCAATGTTAGGAGGACTGGGTTGTTTTCTATGGAATGCTAGAACCTTCCTGAAGCATTGAGAAGACGGGCATATAGACTAGACAACACAATTTAGGATGACTGCAGGCTCTCCACCAATAGTCCTGCATAACGTGAACAAGGCCAAGAGACTCTAATAACCTCCACACAGCTGTCGCAATCTTTCTCCCCTCTGGATACGGTCGTAAGAAATCCTGGAGCAGGGTGATTCAATTACCCTATTAAGATACACTGGCAGCCCAACAGCATCCAGCAGGAAATTGACTAAGCCTTAAAAAAGCCTATTCGAAAACCATAGATCAAACAATATTGAGCCCTGAGCCCAACCGGCCCAACACCTCAACCCTACAAACCGTTAACATTCAGCCTTAAGCCCTGATAACCTCCATTTCTGAACTTACAAGTCTCTAAAACCCAACCGTACAGCAAGTTTCTCAACGCCTGCAGGCCACCCTGCACAAAAGCGCGGTAGGGAGCGACAAGGGCCTTGTCTTGGAGGGCGCTCAGTCAAAGGTTTTTAGGTGCTCCGGGGTTCAGAGTGCAGGTGGTTTAAGGTTTCGGGGCTTAGGGGGTAAGAGCTTAAGAGTTGCGGTGTTCGGATCTGGAGTTTTCAGGGCTTAAGATTTGCCAGGTTTTGGCTTACAGGTTTCTATGTTGATGCCTCATTTGAACAAATATGAAAGCCTGGCTCCTGGCAAAATAAACCCTAAACCCTATCTTTGGACCCATCGCCTGCAAATTGGAGATGTTTCTGAAACTCTTAACAGACCTCAGGAGCCTCTCAGAAACACCAGAAAGGATGAAAATTCAGGATTTGGCGCTTGAAGCCTTAAGCCCCTCCCCTATGAAAACCCATTATAATCCCTATAGACCCCAGGAACTCCTAAACCCTTTCACCTCTTGGCCTTATGTTAAACCCCCCGAAACCCCAATAGGCACCAAACTCCTAAGCCTCCAAATCTTGAAGCCCATCTACTACTATAATAGGGTATATATTGGGGTTATGTAGGGATAATGGAAAAGACAATGGAAGCTACTACTACAATAGGATCCATCACGACCCTTACTGCTGAAACACCGATACAACCCAATGTAATTTTGACTTTCCATGTTTTTCTACATGATTCTCCATCAGAATCATTGGGGTAACCGTAATTTTCCATGGCTCCTATAATACGATCCTTATCACACCCGTATAGGAACACCACTTGATGCGTTGTTTGGGGGGTTCTTAGTCTAGCATTGTTCCCTTCCACTCCAAACGCAAAACCCTTCGATGCTCATACACCCCATCTTGGGATTCCCTTCGCCAATGGTGTCACGACCTTGTGTTCACGATGTTGACCCTTTCCTCGGCCTTAATTCATACCTGAACCCCAACAGAATAGTGGCCTTTTGCAAAATGTTAATGGCGGTTTTGGGCCATCGTCTTACCTACTTATGGGGTCTAGGCATATCTATGCACTTTAGTCTTATGGACCAAAAACTATCTCCAGTCCCTGCCGTGAGTCCGCGGCCACCACCGCAGCCGCGAGGAGGAGAAGCCTTCAGCTTGCGATTTGGTGGATATGGGGTTTTTAGGTTTCAGCAACTAAGGTGAGGGACCACAATATAGAATCTAATATACTACAATCCCTCAGCCCTAAACCCTATTACAACAAGGACTCCGAAGATGGCATCCGCAATTGTGGGACCCAGATTTTGGGGGCGTATAGGGGTCCATAGTCCATGAGGTCTGTGGGGTCTGCAGGGTCTATAGAGCTTGGGGGCTCAGGGTCAAGCATTTAAGGGTTGGAGCTCGGGATCTTTACGACTGATTGCTGGACCCGACGGACTTCCCGTCTATCATCAGGTTTAACTTTTCAGGGTTGAGGATTCTCCGGATTTAGGGTTGGGGCATTGGAGTACAGGCTTAGGAAAGGATTTGAGAGGAAAGGATTTGATGTGCACGTTGCTGGAGCGTAGCTGGCGTGCAAGGGCTGCAGGCCCAAGACTAGGCAAAACAATAGCCCAAAACTCCGGAAAATGACAACTGAAACTGCCAAGAATAGGATCTGGAATCTGCAGGGGGAGTCTAGGGTAAACATGATCATTGTCCATCTGGCTTGATATAACATTTCTGCACGACAACTTTGCGGTTTAGGCAGATCCTATTGTTGATGTTCCTGCGCCGCTTATCCGTCTTCTTTAGGAATTGTCCTTCCCATGGGTGCTCTTACGTGGAGTACGCCAACCTTCAGGTATGCGGCTACTGCACGTAGCCCATCGTCTTTTGACATGGACAGCCCACCTACACACCTCAGGGAAGCGCAAAAGCGCTGCATAGTCCCCAGCCAATGCTGCAATACTCAACGTATGGCAAACGATCTTCTTCGCACATCCAACCCGCAAAGTTGCAAACAAGCTTCCCAAATCTCAACCTGCAACATTTCCACGGGCCATAAACGGCTGACCAGCTGACCTTTCAGTAGGGCTGATGAGAATATTATACTCTTCCCGAAACCTAACGTTAATCACAGGAATCCTGAAGCCAAATTTGTGACCGCAGCCCAAACCCCAGGTAGCCAACCCATCACCTGCCTACCAGCGCCAGCCATTGCTACTTTGTATCCTCCGCAGCGTACAGAAGAGTTGCTACGGTAATAACAAGTATAGTAATAATAGGCAATAATAATAGTATAGCAATAATAGGAGTACTAATAACAATAAGAATAAGACTAATAGCAATACTAGTAGTTATTGTAAGAGTAGCAATAATGTAAGCATCATTTCAACTTCCGGTCTCTTGTTGGCATGCTGGATACAGGGCCCAGGTCACTCTGGGACGTCCACGAGCACGCTTTTGAAAGAACCAACTCTACATCAAAAAGGGGTCCTTGCCATCACAAAGATCCTGAAGCAAAGATCTTTGGTTGAAAGCCTACATCTTTAGATTCGAAAACATACTTAGAGGCCAGTTCTTCCAATCTCACAAGGAAATTAAGGGGTCGTATCATGAGTCGAGGGTATTGTCGCGAACTTCCAAGTGCCTTGGTACAGAGCATAGAGTTTCCCGAGGACAACATGCCACAAAACCTCCCTTTAGAAGAGTTTTCGCTCAGAATTCCCATCGTATGCCCATGTGTGGATGAAAGGCCAGGCTGAACAACAGCTGACCAAGCCCTGCGCACATTCGGCTCTCCGAGCACGCAACTACTTCAGGATCACTTCAAAAGAATATCATGTTCGCACCTTGGCAAATTGCAACTGCAGCGCAAGCTCAGGCCTGATGTGATTTCGCGGCAGCTACCCTCTATCCCGCGGAGCCAAAACGCTTGGCATTTGGGTGGCGCACAAAACCATGCCCTGTCTGTGCGTTGCTTGTGGAATCCTAACAGGGGATTCCTCGGAGGGCTCTGAAGACCAGGCCCTGTGGGAGCGGAAGAGGCTGAGGGGCAGGAACCGCGGGGTGGCAACCTCCTATCATAGAATTACCTAAGCATAAAAGTTGTCATGAACACAAAACCTTACCCATGCCTTAGGATGCCCCCGCCCTGTAATAGTGGTGTATTAAGAATACAAGAGGACACAACAGTAGTACTATTATCCCTTATAGTCACCATTACAGGGCTGGGGGTCCACCTAACCCATACCTTGTACCGCGGCTGCTCCGGTCTCTTGTAGGATCTCAACACGCTCTGCCGCAATCAGCCTAAAAAACTTTCTTGACTCCCGAAGCCAACTACAACTCACTGGTTCTTAGTAGTAGGGAATAAGGGAATGTAAAGGGGGTATATAGCGATAATGGAAAAGAAAATGGAAAGTACTGTAGCATAACAGGGTGATGTTGGGGTTCCTAGTAGGAAATAAGGGAATACAATCCCTACATAATCCCTTTATGGGTTGTTCTCAAAAATGTGGGCCCTTGTTGGCTATGAACTTCATTACAGCACCTAATGTTTAGGGTGCCAAAATGGCACCCTAATTTTGGGAACGACCCATATAATATATTCCACTATTCCCGAGTAAGCCCCAGCAAGACTACAATGCCTTGGCTTTCAAAGTCTCAAGCTCCAAACCTGGAAAAGCAGTCTCTTTTCACAGCACTTGCCATCTTGCCTGTAGCTGCCAAGCCTGCACGGGCGGCCGGCTGTTGGAAAGTGGGGTTTTGCTGGTTTACTGCTTGCAGCTAAAGGCTGCAAAAAAAAGATGGCGCTCTGATAGACTCTGGCAAAGTCGAAATCTTGCTGGCTCAGCTTCAGGACAAGAAGGAAGCAGAAAAAACAATGTGGCAAAGCTCTCTAATCCTTAAATCTGGCTTCGGCCCCTCCAGCCTCCCGCAAGCGCACGACCTCTGTTTGAGCTCGATCTTCTGCATGGCGAAGGGGCGTGGTGTGCCTTCTCATGCTGAGGCGCCTATCATCCGTGTCTTCCCCCTTGTTAATGTCGGCCTCTGCGTCTAAAAGCACACGGGCAACTTCAACGTGGCCAGCGCCTGATGCGTAGAAAAGGGGCGTGGCTGCCGTTGTGCATTGCAGTGCAAATTCATCATCAAAGCTTTCTTGACACTCCCCTAAGTTGACGTCGGCGTGCGCGGCCAACAGCAGGCGCACGATCTGGACGCAGCCTTGCCCCGACGCTGTGGCGAGAGGCCATGCGTCGCGCGCGAAAGGGCATAAGCCCAAGTCATGTATCTCTGGGGCATTGGCATCGGCCTTTGCGTCTAGCAGCAAACGCACAATCTCCACAAAGCTCCTGCGTACAGCTTGAAAAAGAGGCGTAGTCGAGCCAGTCTCGTCTCCGCTCCGTCTGTCGACTTCTGCTCGACCTCCCAAGAGCAAGCGAACAACTGCTTCATGGCCCTCTATCGTTGCGATGGAGAGTGCTGGTCGAAACGTCTTTTCAAAGACTGCTGCCTCGTGCTCCACTGATTCCCCTGCGTTGGCAAGGGCTCTGCCGCAAGCAATGTGCTCACAATTTCGGCATGGCCATGTTCAGCTGCCACATACAGAGGTGTTGTAGACACCAGGCAACCCCCATCAAGATAGCGTCTGTCCATGTTGGCATCGGGGCTCTTGCTGCTAGCAGCCAGCACAAACTTCCATTGCGGCCGGCTTCAGAAGCATTGCAAAGTTCAAATGCGACCTCCACGCCTTCGTCTGAAGAAGCGGTGGCGTGCACCGGCAGTAGCAGCAGCTGCACGTGCAGAATCGAGTCCACTCGCGCTTGGTCGGTCGTCCAGGATAACACCTTGATGCAAGATGCGCTGCAAGAACACAGGCAGCCCACACTCCTCTTGCAACCGCTGCTTCAGGACTTCAGCGGTCCACATTCGTCAATGGGTATCTCCACCAGTTCCTCTCCAGAAGTAGCCCAGGCAACGCGCAGCATCCTGGCCGAGGCTGTGCCACAACCAAGAAACGCAAATGCTTGACGGAAAACGCCTATGGGAAACTAGGCCAACGTGCTTGTTCCTGAACCCTGTCTGTATCTACAGGTCCTCATGATGATAATGAGCATAGCAGTACTGGAGCATCTCGAAAATGAGCCCCTTGGCACAGTAGAGCGTTGCGAAGAGGACCTTCCTTCATTAGGAAACACCTGGTGGCAAAAACAACCCAGCATTTTCAGCGCTGCATCCACAGGTGCAAGATGGGTCAAAAAAGAATTATAAAAGATTAAGAGCACCGGTGTCTGGATTGAGGCTGTTTGCCCCCAGTCGCCAGGCTTGGAGGTCTAAATCGCAAGCTGTCCTACCTAGCTTCAGTGACTTCTGTGGGGTGGCCCCGACCCTAAGAGGATTTTTCGGGTTTGGGGTTCCCTAGTGGTCTACCCGTACCGAGGGGTGTAGAGATTGAGAGTTCGTCGCAGCCACACTGCAGCTCAATGCGAGACGCGTGGACGTTCGTCCATCTCACTGTCAGGAGAATTCATCTCAAAACCTCAGCTTCGCAACTTTGTGATTTCCAAAGCACGCACAAAGATACAACCGAATTGGACAGCACGCTGAGTCTGGCTAAGCCATAAGTAGCAACTCTGCCTGTCCGCCCCAACTTGCATAGCATGCTGCATCCCATGATTATCATGCACTTTCTTTCAACCTTCTCTGACCAGGAGACTGCTGATCATGTAGTGTGGCTGCCCTAGAACAAAACGGATGGACACACATGAAGCCATGGCACAAGCATACTGACAGCATCGCCAACAATTATATTAACAGCTGGCACCAAGCAAAAAAGTCAGATCACTAATGACTTAACCTTCAATCCAAGCCCACCACGCCAAGCTAAAGACCTGTAATCCCCAAACCCCAAGCCCGCATGCATGAATCATGAAACCCCATGCCCAAATTACATCCTTTACATTTGAGCCCTGAGCCGGAAACCCCACGCCTTGAACCTGGATCAGCCCTAAACCCTAATGATAGCAGAAACGGCAAAACTCCTAAGGGACCGAGTGCTTGGCTCTACTACCGGACCATGGCAGGAGTCTTACCTCGGAAAAAATATAACCCCCCTTAAGTAGATAGAATATGGCTTTGGGTCTATTATAATAAGATCCCCATATACCCCATATTCTATCTACTTAAGGGGGACTATAGCAGTATCTTCAGTGGGCTCGAGGGATGGGGGGGGGGGAGAAACGTCGTTCTGAAGGTTTATATGGGAGGTTCCCAAACTTAGGGGTACCCTTTTGGGGATCCCCATAATAAGGATTATAGTATATTGGGGTCTATATTGGGGTCCCCTTATTTTGGGAAACTACCATATGAAGTAACAGTTTGGAAAACTCCTATATGTCAGCACGGGCAAGGAGCAAGTCTTTGCAACTCTTTCAATGGAATCAAGCGCGCTGCTACTGCGGCATTACCAAGTTGGAATTACTTGGAGGGTCCAGGGAACTTAGTGTAGGTCAATAATGTGGATAATTAGGGTTACTACATGGGTAAAATCATGGGGGTCAATAGGATTATTACATGGGTAAAATCATGGGGATAATTAGGGTTACTAGATGAGTAATATGATGGGGATAATTGGGGTTACTAGACGGGTAATATAATGGGGATACCTAGGGTTACTACATGGGTAGAATCATGGGGAAAATTAAGGTTACTACATGGGTAATATAGCGGTAATTCTGCCTCCTCACTAAATCCCCCTGACCCTCAACCCTAAACCCCTAAACCCTCAAACCCTAAACCCTAAACCCTGACACCCTAAACCCCAAACCCCAAAACCCAAAACCTTACATGTACAGGCTACAGAGTCTGCGAGATGCCATGAAATTCGGGGCCCAAGGATCAGAAACGGGTTCTGGGGTACATTTTGGGTTGGGCCCCCACCCACTAATAGTGGTGTACTAGGAATATATAAAGACCTTAATATAATTACTAGTACCTCTTGTGGGTCACTATCCGTGGGAGGGGGCCCAACCTAAGGTACATTCGAATTCACATAAGCAGAAGATTACAAGGGGAGGCTATTGGCAATTATTCAGGCTTCTACAGTAGTGTGCAGGGGGGAGTCTCAGGGGATTCTGATTGAGAGTGAGCAGGGTGGAAAATTGCCTTCGCTCAATCCAACATGGAACCCCCCAAAAACAAGCCCCGAGAAATACTGAAGTAATGCAGACTTCTCTCCTTCATCTGCATTACTTCAAGAGGAACTACATTTTTACATATTGAGCTAAAGGGAAGTTATGTAGGGGATTATATAGGGGACTTCTATAGTATCAGCATCCCCCTTAATAACTCCAATAATAATACTCCCCCAGATAACCCCCTTAAGTCGTTTAGATGGTGGCTCTTATGGAATCTAAACGGGAACACATGGTGGCTTCTGGATAGAAGCTGGCAGAACCTAGCAAAAGTGGAAGCTCTGCTCGAATGGAGCGTCTCAGGCCAATTCCCAAGAACCGTAAACCCTAAACCTTATGTTTTTTCATCACAGGGCTTTTTTGAGCTTTTAAAGCATCAAGATCCCAGCAAGACTTCTCTCAGGCGCTAGGCTACGGCTACAGTCAAACCTCCTCCTGGAAACGGAAAACACCCCATGAAGGTTTCTCCAAGTCATTGGCTGCTGTTTTCTGGTAGTCCCGAGCGCGGACACTTTTTTGAGAAACATCCTCGTGTTACAACAACTGTAGTCTAAACTCCCAGTATCCCCCTAATATGCCCGATAATACTCCCCTATAGAATCCCCCGCATAACCCCCCTTTAATTATTGAAGGAGTTTAGATTCTGGCTCATGTGAAGACTGCGGAGCAGGAATCGTTCTGCGCATTGGCTACTAGCTGACACAATGTAGATGCATATCCGAAAGTTCCAGATATCACTATTATGGAACGAGCCCACGGCCCCAAACCCATAGTACAAAAGAAACTATGGGTCCTAATTCCCCAGGAGTAGTTGTACATGTGGACTTCCTGGGTATGATACAAGTCGGAAAGAATCACCTACGCCTGCTCAGCGCTCACACCAAAATTAGGGTACCTATTCTTGGGTGTCCCAATAATACGGATTATGGTATACTGGCGTTCTCCATCATGGGAAATCACGACATGAGCCACAGTCTAAGATCCTAGCACCCCGCTTATTAACCCGTATAACACTCCCCAATGTAATCCCGTATATAAGCCCAATGAAGGAGTTTAGACTACAGCTCACATGCTATCGTGAAGCATGAAGGGTCCACGCAGCCCCAAACCCTCTAAACCCTTAAACCATGCAGCCCAGTGGCAAGTTCAAGCTCTTCACGTTCTCGTTGATCTTGACCTCAGCTGAGTAGCGTTTCTTTGCCTAAGGCTCCAAGGACTCATATTTTTCAGGCTTTTGGCCCCACAAACCCTAATAAAAAAGTCGGGCTTTTTTGAGTCGTAGGTTTTTGGTGGTTGAGCCAAGTAAGATTATATTCTGTATATTGAAATACTATGCCCAAAAGGAGGATATAACCTGGGTCTATACTGGGGGCTTTTGTATCCCCAAATACATACTACTGAGGAGGTATAGCTCCAGTGTTCAGAATAACTTGAGAGTAGACTTTGTCAATTCCACCGCAACAGCCCTGCCCTGCAAGTTTCAGAGGCAAGTATTCCCACCATATGAGCCCTTGTCTAAATTCCTAGTATCCCCCTTAATAGCCCCTATAGTAGTCCCTACTGTATAATCCCCTATAGAAGCCCCTTTACAAGAGTTTAGACTACAGCTCATATGGGCCCGGCACTTCTTGAACAGAGTTCCTCCAACAATGTCAGGCGCAGGAATTACAGAATCTCCTCAGAAAGAACAGTCTAAATACAAAGACATCGAAACTCGAAACTGCTGTATTCCACACGGCCGGCCCGTCCCCACACGATTGTCTTAACGCCACAGCGAACTGACTCCCACGCGATTCTATTTGGGTTTTGTTCTCTATATGGCAATACAGCACTTCATTCCACCCAGCTCAGGACAATGCTCCCTTGAAAGGATTTTGGACTCTTGGAGCGGTATACTAGCCCTTATGAGAATCTTGCCAGAGTTCTGCCCTTGACGCACTGCCCTACTTTTGGAATTCAAGCATGTCAAAGCGCCCATTTAAGCCCTGCCACGCCCTCATTCTCAAGCCTCCTTGACTTGGATGCACGGAGTTCAGCGCCAGCTAAAGCTTTCCTAAACCCGTCCAGGGCTGTGGAAACCGGAAATCTGGAAACCTAAGAGCCCGCACGCCCTTAACACGAAGCCCTACACAGTGCAATGCAAGCCAAGTTGCTGCGGCAAAGTTGTAGGTCTGGCGTGTTTGGTCAGACATTCATGCACGTTGTCAATTTGATACCTTCCTCTCCCCTTCTATAGATGCGTTTTTCTTGGGTGGCCACAACTGAGATTTCAGGCCTCCAAAGGTTCGCAGGCTAGATGCAGGTCATGATTTTGAATACATATGTCGGCCTTGCCGTTTCGGACGGATGTGAATTCGAATGCAAAGTAAGGCGGGGCAGAATTCGGCTGCAATCTGGGCTTGGCAAGCAATTTGTTCCCTAGACTTAGAAGGCGACCGTGGCTCTGTCTGCGCCTGCTATAACTGCTACTCAGCACATCCCCGCCACCATCTCAAAATGTCTACATGTGGATGATGAAGCAGCGGCATCCGCAATTCAATCGATTCAAGCAAGCCCCAGCTCTCCAGCATAAACTCGTCCTTTCCCTACGATTTCCGAAGCTGGTGATGAGTTGGTTCCATACCTGAAGATGACTACCGAGTCCAACTTGGCACTTAGCCAGGAATAAACTGTATTGAGGTAGGCCAGCACTAGTGATAAGCCTGTGGCCCCCTAAGCCGCATCTCCAAGCCCATCCCTCATCCAGAACAACGCCCATCAATGTGGCTAAGCCGAAAGCCTTTGTGCAACAGCATCCTAGTATCCCCTACTAAGCACGTCACGAATACATATGAGGCATATAAATCCGTATACAGGTCGTTATTGAGGATCTCAAAATCATGCATCCGCTCTGCCTTCAGGGCATACCTCAGGCTTGGCAATAGTGCTTAGGGGGACTCATGGTATAGGAGTTGTGAGCAAACGCAAGTGAAGGGAAAAAGGGAGGATCTGGAAAAGCCCGGGGCAAGGTTGTTGCGCAATGATTCTGACAACAGCAATGCAGTTTCTGACTTCATCCAAACACCCATGCAGTGCAGGTCTTGGGGAGGGGTGTGGGCTTACTGGCAAGTAAACAATGATCCAATAACGGATGGGTGTCTCAGCGGAGACGCCTGCCAAGGTCTTTCATAATAATGAGCGCTTGTCTTAGGACGCGCTGTTCTGCCGAGAGACAACAACAACAAATGAACTGTACTGACCAACACATAACGCCACTGAAATTTCAGTGATACAGCATGAGCATTGGTGAAATTTAATTAGAGTCCGCCTCTGTGTGCCCCATTGTTGGGAAACACCTCCTTTCCACTAAGGCAGGGGAGAGGTTTCTTGCAGACTACCCCTAGACAATCTCAATGTCGTCCCTGCTGAGTTACCACAGAAGAGCGCCAATAGCTCTGAGAAACTTGGGAAAGTCAGTACACCCCGACACTCCCACTTCCGTTTGTGGTGGAGCTGCTTTTTTTTTTTTTGCAATATCTGACCTTGAACAAATTAGTGAACACCCTTTGCGGCCACTCCTACCTCTAGACACACCCGCATAACAATCTCCTGATAAATCGCAGAAGGATCCAAAACATGTCCGATCGCAATCATGTAGGATGTACTTGGCGTAGATCTCGCAGCTGCTCCACACTCTTCAACTCTACGCCCTACACCCTCTTGCCTGAACCCTAATGGGAGGTTGATGGCAGCTAAAAGTGTATTTTTTCCAGGGCCACCATAGCCACAACCGGAAAAAAAACTTTTTTCAGTGACTGTCCGCCCTACCCCTGACTACCTGTGAGCATACGAGCATATTGCCTCTCATTGTAAGAAGACACCCAAGAGCCGCATTCCTTTACAGTGACCAAAGGCTACCCCGCATGGCGAGTAACCCCTGTCTTGCTCTGCTAAAGCTGAGAGACCCGTGAACCCCAATCCTTAAATCCTAACCTCCAAACCCCTATAGATCCTAAATGCCAAAAACCCTAGCATTATAATAGTCGGTCAGCACAAGCCCAGCATGCCAAAAGCAACAGCCAATGTTTCAAAACCAACTTCCGAAGCCAAAGGCCCTGGACTGTTGGAAATGTCTCTCCCTGAAAAACCAGCTGGAAATAGCTAAACCCTGAACCTTGAACCCTAAACCCCTAAACCTTAAACCCTAAACCCTGACCTTCAACCCTGAAGCCTAAACCTTTAAGCCTAAACCCTTAAACCCTGAACCCTAAACCTTAAAGCCTAAACCCTAAACCCGAAACCCCGATATTCCCCCAAAAGGACCCTAGGTCAGAAGCTGAGGAGGCAGCTCACCAGCTTTCAGGCCAGCACCAGCCACGTCTTCGATGGCATCCTTGTACCTTTGTGGAAACCCCTAGTATGGGGTTTAGGGTTTAGGGGTTTAGGGGTTTAGGGGTTAAGGTTTAGGGGTTTAAGGTTTCAGCGGTTTAGGGTTCAGGGTTTCAGGGTTTATGGGTTTAAGGGCCCAAGGGCTCAAGGACTCGGGCTTTAAGGTTGTCGTTCTTTATCGTGCCTTTTCTCCCCAGCCAGCTGTCTGACGAGATACCCTATGTGATATTAAGGACTTTTTTAAACGACAAGAGAGACCCCTGTGTCCACTGTTAGAATTCCACATAATAAGCCCAAAATTGGCAGTAGCTCACATAGGCTATTCTGACGGGTACTTGGGAGATCCTGAATCCCTGGAACCCCAATAGAAGGCCATGCATGCATCTTGGTATCAACCCTATAAACCCCTACATAAACACAGTTTCCCTTTGATTCCAAATGATCTTTGCCATGTGATTCTCCATAATACTTATGGGGTCACCCACCCTTGTGCCCAGATTTCGGTGAACAGAAACCCTCTTTGCAAATGCGATGGGTTTTGGGCTGCCCAACAACCGGACCTAAGGCGGGGCTCAATCATAAGCCTTGTTTGAGAGTAGATGGGAATCCAAAGGATGCGCAAGAGGAAGCTCCATCTGAGAGGGCTAAATCAAAGCCATCCTCCAGGGCAAACAGATCACTAGTGGATGTATGTGGAGATTAAGGGGCGTCCAACAAGGTGGCAAACCCGAGCACATGGATGTTTACAGAAGTGAAATGGGGGTTCCCCGAAGTTAGGCCGCGACACGATTTGAAGGCGGAACCCTGGACCCAACATCCCTGGCCTACCACAATCCCCTGAACACCTTTGAAGACAGCCCAAAACCACAAGATCCCATGAGCCATGGGACCTGAACCCTGATGTCAATGTTTATGCCCCCCCTGCCACTTCTGATACTGCCATGAAAGCTTCTGAACGCAGGCTTCCTGAAAAATCACAAGCAAGTGAGCCTTTATCCAATCTTCTTCTGAGCCACCCAGAAAACCAACAGAGCTACTGTTCAAAGCTAAAATCCTGCATGACAGTTGTGTAGTATAGTGCCATAATTCGAAACTACAAGGTACTGAGGGTCATGCCGGATTTTTAGTATCCACCGAATGTTCCCTTGCTGGGTTGCTGTTAAGGAATTTAAATTAAGTTACTTTTTGGGGAAACCCTATTATCTACTATATAAATACCCCCCATTATGGTAACTTAATTTAAGTTCCTTAACAGTATCTACTGCTGGCTGAGGCACTCCGGGACCTTCCTGGAGCAGAACGGGCGTCAGGGGCTTCCAAGAGTCCAGGTATTACTATGACTACTACTATTACTATTACTATTATTATTACTATTAATATTAGTATTACTATTACTGTTATTACTGTTATAGTAGCATATGAGAAGCAAAGGTCTCTGGGTTTTGAAGTTATATAGGGATCATAGGATAATATTGGGGTTATATAGGGATAATGGAAAAGAAAATGGAAGCTACTATTAGGTTAGGGTTTTACTAATGAACAATCCATGTTGCGTCTCATGTTTCCCACAAATGGCGGCATACCTAAATTCCACTATCAAGGCTTTAGGGCTACAAAACCCTGCGGTTCATCCAAAAAAAACTGCTGTCAGCGCGCTTGTTGAGCCCGCCAAGAAAGCCCCCCATACGCTGTATGCCCTGCCTTACACCCGACTTAAGGCACTGCGCAGCAAAATTCTTCAACTGAAACCCAGCCTACGCCCGTAAGTGCATACAGTAGTTCTTATTTCAATTGTGCGCAGATTATGTTGGTAGTGCCTGGGGTTCAGGTGGGAATTGGCTTGTTGTCCTGACCACAAATCACAACAAGAATCCTTGCTGTTGAGACAAGGTCTTCCCGTGCGGTGACTTGCAATCCGAAGCCGATACACCCTGTCCTCAAAACCGTATAGTCCCCCTTAAGTAGATAGAATATGGCTTTGGGCATATTACAGTAAGATCCCCATATACCCCATATTCTATCTACTTAAGGGGGACTAGACGCTCTAAATCCCAGAACTTTAAGCAACATCGGCTCCACATCCTCGTCCTGCAAAGCTTGCGAAGCTCATTAGACACCAATACACTCGAACTCCTGCAGCCCCTAAACCTGGGACAACTAGTTTGAAAAATGTATTCAGCACAACGAAAACCTGCACCCTTCGCCCTTAAAGGCAACGAAGCGTTGAAAATACGCTTGAACTTCTTGCAGGGGTATGCCCCTGGGCTATGTTGAGTGTTTCTTCCACAAGGCAAGATGAACCACTCCCAAAACTACAGGAGTCAGGAGGGTTTAGGGCTTAGGGTTGGAGACTAAGGACAAGTTGGCTAAATTTCCGGCTCACGTCTTATAGTCCCCCTGAAATAGATAGAATATGGGGTATATGGGGATCCTACTCTAATATACCCAAAGCCATATTCCATCTACTTAAGGGGGAATGTTCTTTCCTTTTATCGCTTTAATTAGGGTTTAGGTCTCAGTGTTTAGGGTACAAGGGGACTGTGTCCCGCAAATTCTAATTGGCTGATGGTTCAAGTAATTGTTTGGGTTGGCTAGACTCGAGCCCTAAACCCTCAACCCCTAAGCTTTTGAACCCTACACTCCGAAACACTGCCACCACAAATCCCTGGATCACCACATGAGGCTCTGGCTTTCCAGCAAAATCCGTTAGGCTGCCGAAAGAAAGGCCATAGCCTCAGACGCGGTATAGGGTTCGGGGTCATCATTTGGGAATTTTGGATTGGGAGTTCTGCGTTTTGGGTTCTAGGGATTGCAGTATAGCATTCAAGGGTCAGGGATTACGGTTTGGGGCTTTTATGTATGGGTTCTGCACCTTGGGGTCAAGGTCCCTGAAAATAGCCGCTTTACTGACTGAATGCCCAAATACACACAACCTCATGCTCTGGGCCAAGTCGAAATGTGACCTCAAAATCAGAGGCTCGGCAATCCTGATAGAGGAGTTGGGTACACCATGGAACCCTAGTGTTGCGGCAATACCTGCAAAAGTGTGCAATACCTACAAAAAATATATCAGTAGGGTCCTAACAGGTGAATTAACTCTGATGCTCCTGTACAGGCTAAACTACCTACAACCCCTGAATCAGTAACTAAACTGCCTACACCATCCAGCTCCTCAACCCCAAGCTCCTGACCCTGAGCCCTATCTGGACCTGATGTTGCGTGTATATAACTATACATATGGGTGGTTGTCAAAATTATGGTCCCTTTTTGGGTCCCTATTAGAATACGGCACCTAATATTTAGGGTACCCAAAAAGGGACCATAATTTTGACAACCACCCATATATACATACACACACATATATGCATTGGGGTTTCCCCAAATTAGGGGTCCCTAGAAGAAGGACTGTAGATGGTTGTAGTAGGCGGGGGTGTATATTGGGGTCCCCTTGTTCATAGAGAAACTACCATGTATAACCCGAATCCTAACCCCTAAATCCTTAACCCTCATCCCGAACGCCTATAGTCCCCAAACCCTCTCGCGGCTAAACCTTCATCCCTGCATCACTAAGCCCGCATCCCTGAATCACCTCATCCCCTACATCCCTGGACCCTCAACCCAAAACTACCCCTTCACTACCAAAATGTTCCCCTAAAGCTCCGCTTCCTCAGTTGCCTGCCCAGAGCGGCGAAGATGAGGCCAAAGGTGAAGCCTTCAGTTTAAACTGCAATCAGCACAGCCATGGCCAGATTTCTATACCCCGGGTCTGAACCTTGTCACCCAAAGAGCCCTCATTAGGCTCTGTATTCTCTGGAACCCAGTCAAGTAGAGTCCGAACCAATAGTGGCGACTGCACCTGGCTGTCATGCTTCACACATAAGTTTAGCCTTCCCTGTACTGCTCACGAACGCTATGCACCTTCTTTAAGCTTCCGACATTGCACCCAAGAAGACCTCTGCCTCAACCCTGCACCCCTGCAAGCACTACGAAACCCAAAATCCCGTAGAGCGCAACAACCCTCCAACTCAAGAATGGTCATGAAGTTGGGATAAGGGTAAACTCTTAACCCCTAGCCTCCCAGGATAGGAAAGATCAGGCCCAACACGAAGTAGAAGACCACAGAGGCGCTCCTGGCTTGCCAATTTACGGAGGGGCGGGATTGGGTTTAGGGTTTAGGGGTTAATTTCGTTTGTAGGGTTCCGGGGGATGTGGGCCTAAGTCAGACATTTGGGCATCACGACGGTTTGGGCTTGGAGCTAGCTTGTACGGCACTCCAGCATGGTGTCAATGCTTTACCGCAGGGTTCGGGTGTGTTTTGTCAGGGAAGGAGAGAAAGCATCAGATCTTTCACTGGAACTTCCCAAGATTGTTCCTTACATAGTACCAGGTAGCCTCCAGTACTCCGTCTGTGGCCTTGATATGTATTCCTCTGGCCGACATCCTAGAAGAAATCATGGTCCGCCCTTAACCTCTGACTAACAGTCCCTAAGCAAGGTCGAGCATTTTTCGTACTATGATAGGTATATATTGCTACTATATGAATTGCAATCCATATTTCCCATCTAAAGGACCCTTCATGGTCCCTTGGTAATCCTACGGTGGAAAATAGCTCACACGCCTCAATTGGGCACTCCGAAAACAATACCTGTACCTGACTCATGCACTATAACCATCGTGCGTCTCTTGCCGAATGATGGATGTGCCCTCAGAAGGACACGCAAGCATCAACTCACATCCGGGCCCATGAGCAGCTGTGGCGTGATGAAAGCTTTACCGCACAGAAGCTGCAAACACGGCTTAATCTGCCACATGGACGGTCTCTCATGTATAGCTCTACCATATCCTGCTGCCTCTAAGCCTGTGTCCCCAGCTCCAAACCCAAAACTCAATAGCTTCAGCCCTTGCTTTGAAACCGCCGAAATAAACAAAGTACACTTCGACCCAAGCAACACCCGAGGGTCCAAGTGCCTGAGTGGAAAGCAAATTCTTTGGGCTCCTACATAAATGTTTCGACCAAAATTACTTACCATGTAGGTACTTAATTGGAGCCTATTCTTACTGGTTCTTAGTAGGGAATAAGGGAATACAATCCCTATATAGCCCCCAGTGAATTGTAGGGAAACGTGCCCTAAACTCTAATCCCTAAGTAATAGGAGAATGACTAGCCAGGCAGTCTTCACGTTCTCGGCGCTCTCTTCGAAGGTGGAGATGGAGATGCTCGAGGGCGAGGGCGAGGAGCCTAGCCCACTTTGCAGCACAACGTCTGGAGATTTGGTTGGGGCTTATACGGCCTACGAGTTCAGAGGGGTGTGGAGTTCGGGGTACAAGGCCAGGCAGTTCAGGATTTGGGCTTCATGGTTGGGCAGTCTGCAGCAGCTGGATAATCAGATCCCAGCCGCAGATTTGTTGCTTCAAAGCAAAGGAGAAAGACACCGTGCCGTGTTTAGCGTTAAAAAATTTTAGACGGAACCTAGAACCTTCAAAGGAAGGAGAGGCGGATGCAGGGCGGGCCGCGGAGACGCGCTCCTGCGACTGTATAGCGTAAGGGTGCAGCATTTTGTGGTCCTTGGTAGAAAAAAATCTGCGGGGTGTGGGCAGGGAACGATGGGTACCCTGAACCCTGAACTACACCCATCGCTCTGGACTATGAGCTGCCGAGGTTCTAAATCAGCTGCAGTCTGTGCAAGATTTGTTGCTGAGGGCAAACAAGGCTTAAACAGACCTGGGGTCGAGCTCACGGAATAGGATATAAGTTCCGTGGAGCTTCATCGTGGCCTGCATTGGCAGCCTGAGTGTGGTCTAGACATCCTTTGAAAACGGAACAACAATGATGTCCGAGGACACAAGGGGAACGGCATGTAGAATAAGTTGTGGCCTCTCTTGACGCCTGTGTCCACTTGATGGCATGCGAGATGCCTAAGCGCCACCAAGGTGTAAGACTGCTTTGTAGTTGTCCTGTGGAATCTGGAATTACAAGCAGGCAATCTCGCATCAATGCAGGAACCTAACAAGACGCCGCCTACAGAAGGACAACAAGAATCCCATTTAAGCATGAAGTGGAATATTTGAGAATTTTCCCTGAAAGGATATATATCACAGGGGCACAGCTGTTCATGAACGATCCTGTTATCCCGCAACCGGAATCTTGCCAGTCTTGGCAGGACCTTCGAGGTGAGGAGTCGAGTTCTTGTGGACTTCAGACATCAGCAATCACAACATCTATGTGGTATGCCTTTTGGGCCCCCTGTTTAATGCGAGCACCGTAACTAGGTTCCCCAGTAACCCCTTAGTAATGAGGGTGTGGTTTTTGCTCATGTTCGGTCTTAATGAGGCCATCCAAAAAAGGAAAAAGGACACGCCTAGGGCACCTAGATAAGGATGTAGCATTTGCCTTTCACGAAGTCTGAGACAATTTCAGACGGCAATGTCTGGGACGGGATGCGGGAACAAGTGAATTGCCGAGAGAGAGAGAGAGAGAGAGAGAGAGAGAGAAAGAGAGAGAGAGAGAGATATATATATATATATACATTTATCTCTCTATCTCTCTCTCTCTCTCTCTCTCTCCTGCTAGTTCTAGAGTGCGCGGCATTTGGCAATTCCCAGTTTTGAACGTTCTGGACCCCCCAACTCTAAACACTTAACGCTTAGACCCCTGAACCCTAAACCTTTCAAGCGTATCACCCCTATAATATAACCCTAGTATGACATAGCAGTTTCCATGTTACTTTCCATTATCTCAATATAAATCCCTATTTAACCCCAAACCCTACACCTTTCAAGCGTATTTCTAAACCCGAAACCTTAAACCCTAAAAACCCTAAACCCTGTTATGGCCATCGTCATGCCCAAGACTTGCTTGCGCCTCCCTCAGCCGCTCGGATCACGGAGGGGGCCGCACGAGGGGCCTGCAAAGCAGAAGCTGCACCGAGATTTGGGTTTGGGGTTTATAGGGTTTAGGGTTTTAGGGTTTATAGGGTTGTAGTCTAAATTCCTTTGGGGTTTAAGGTTTAGGGTTTCAGGGTTTCAGGGCTTAGGTTTAGGCTTGAATTCCTTCTAGGGTATTTAATGTGTAGGGTTTCAGAGTTTTAGGGCGTAGGGTGTAGGTTGTTCAGCTTGATTTCCTTCCCGATCCCTCCAACCGTGAAGAACATTGAGGTACTAGGTCATCATAAGAATGTGAAAGCTCTTTTCAAGCATGGCCCTGCACCCCCAACCTTTAATAAGTTGTGCTACTGATTCAACATTATCTTGTGAAATCTCTGTGTGGTTTGGGTAGTCATGAATAAGTACCAACTTATTCGATAACAGCCCAAGAACAGCTGGTGTGGATGGAATTGGGGTCTTCCTCTCACTGCAAGTCCATAACGAGGATCAGAATCATCAATTTTGAAAGCTGGATCTATATTGGGGTCCCCCTATGCAGNNCCCCCCCCCCCCCCCCCAACTGTCTCGGTTTCTTTTCAGCCGCAAGCATGAGCCTGGTCGTCTGGCATCTGCCATCTATGGAAGGCATGACAGGCCATGCTACTGTAGTGCAACTCCTAGGCTGCATTACTGCGGATTATGTAACAGCCCTTTGCCTCTTACAGATACGTCTCGGAAAGATCACAGCTGCGCCAAACTGAGGCGGCTATTGTACTTCCCGTGGATTCTTCCGATTCATCGGTACCTGTATCTGTAGCCAATTGTTGAAGAGGACTGTCAATGAAGTGTATATAATTTATTGTCTTGCTATATCAGCTTTTCTCAAGCATAGTCTGTTTCCGGCAGTTGGAGTGTTCCCTACGGTAGAAGAGAGAACTACTCACACTTACGGCTCAGACAGCTCGGCCCTCCAGACTCACCTTAGCTGCTTTTTGGTCTACGGAAAGATTTTTTTGACTGCAGTCATTTTGAGTTGTAGCTAAGCAATCAACAACAAGAGAATCACAGAGGCTTTGTCCCGTGCCTCTTCACCATGTTCGAACCCTTGCGAAGTGTGCGGGGCACGTGCCTTTCAGTTCTGCCACCCCCTGAACAGGCATGCCAGGAGAGGAAAGAACACGAGCCCTCTGTCCAAGACAAGTGGTGGCAAGCTGTCCGAACAACAGATGCGATTGTGCGGTGATGGTTGTCTTTGAATCCCCAGCAACCCTGCAAACAATCTCAGCTTGTCATCGATGATGAGGCTGCGGTCGAACTCCCTCTGAGCCTTTTTGAGAGGGGTCTTGACTGCCTACTGATGAGTCTGAGCTGCTACAGCAAGGTGTTGACAAGGCCCTTTGGATCTAAAGCCTATTCGGGTTTTGACACCTGCCCTTAGGCAAACAGGGCCCAGGCTACTTGTCCAAGCAGATCTGGACAGGCTTGACCTTCAAGTTTCCGCAGGGGGGCTCGGAGGTGCCAATCAGGAAGGGCAACTTGAAACTGGGTTGCTGTTGAGGACTTATACTCACCTATGTCCTCTAATGTGATGTATTACATGCAGATTATAGCAACTCAACGTAAGCTCCTTAACAGCAAGCCATGCAATGGTAGTTTCCCAACATAAAGGGACCCCATTATAGACCCTAAAATACTATAGTCCTTATTTCAGGGAACCCCCGAAAGGGTACCCCTAATTTTTGGAACCTTTTCCGAGGCGAGCTTTCTGAACCCTGAATCCTAAACAAAGCCCTAAATCAAAATAGTAGTTTGCATTTTATTTTCCGTTATCCCAGTATAGCTCAAATAAACCCTAATATTACCCCAATGGGTACCTATATCCCAGCTAAGTCTGCGACCGGGTTGGCGCCACTGGCCGTGCCTGGACATGCTGGCACCTGAAATTAGTTGATGCGGCAGCGAAGCTTTAAGGTAATATTGGGATAACGGAAATGAAAACATAGTATGTTGGGGTTATATCGGATAATGGAAAGTACAGTGGAAACTTCTATTTATGGTTTAGGGCCTGGGGTTTCCCAAAATTGGGGGTATCCTGTTAGGGGTCCCCTTAATAAATCTCATAGAATTTGGGGTCTATTTGGGGGTCCCCCTATCTAGGGAAACTACCAGTTGATGCCGCAGCGGACCAAAATTAATCACAGTCTTGGGGTTATATATTCAGGCTATATATTGGGGTTTTATATGGCAGTACACATTGGGGTTCTATTGGGGTTGTACAGGGATAATGGAAAATATAATGGATACTACTACCTTATAGCAGTTATATAGGGGTATATAATAGTGGAGTCGCAGTGAGGCTACGGTGGCTTGGGAATGGCCAGGAGAGCTGGGCTTCAGGCATAAAACATTGGCATCTACTTCCATCTTGCATACAAGTAACCCTAAATAGTAGTTTCCATTTTATTTACCATTATCCCAATATAACCCCAATATACTATAGTAGTTTCCATTTTCTAGTATCCCCATATTACCTTACATTCCAGACCGCGGGGATCGGAAGCACCAATAGCAGCTCGACAGCGCACTGATCAATAACGAACCACACATCTTCGAGAGACGCAATTCCCGAACGAAGAGCATGTAGGGGTACTATTGGGTAATATGGGGATAATGGAAAAGAAAACGGAAAGTACTGTGATTATAGTTATATTGGGGTCATATAGGGGTACTATTGGGCAATATGGGGATAATGGAAGAGAAAATGGAAGCTACTATAGTATGTTGGGGTTATATTGGGACAATGGAATATAAAATGGAAACTGCTATTCAGGGTTTAGGGCAGTAGCAATCCTATGTGGGAGAATAAAGGAGACTGAAGACGAGCCACCAATAATTAAGGTTCTGAGATGTATCGCAAGTTTGGACTACAATCACGTCATTAAGAAGCTAAGGGGATGTCATGAATAAGTATTAAGACACCTCTACTTCCGACTATCGACGTCCACCTCGAATTGAGGCGACTGTGGTCGTAAGCGCAGGGCCGCAGCGTGACGAGATGCACGCCGCCCAAGCCTCTGGAAGACAAGATGCCGGGTTCATAGCAAGCCGTTTTGGGAGGTTCATGGCTAATTATGAGAAGGGATACAACTGCCCGAGCCCAGTTATAAGCTTAGATATGCGAGGCATAGATGCACTTCTAAAGGCACCTGAAGCTCGAAGTAGATGGAAAACCGGAGCCCAAGATCGCTCCATAGCTGCCGGGATTTCAGTTGGGTGTGGTTCAAGTCCTAGAACGTGCTGCCTGGGCAGATCTAGCTCAGCGGTGTGTACGTGTCTGGAAGTGTGTACACAAGCAAGTTGCGGATGCTGGTCGCTGTCCCTTTGCCGCGACGCAAATTGAGGATCAATCAGTTACGTCACGGTTTCGTATATATATATATATAGAAAGTAGTTTCGATGTTCTTTTCCATTGTCCTATATAATCCTATTATATAAAAATATAATATAGCAGCTTCCATTCTTCCATCATCCCAATATATGACACAGCCTTGGACAGTACAGCTTGTCAACAATGGCTCCAGGTCGGTCCTGTCCCTGCCAGTCCGCACAAATCAAAAAATGTAGAGGCCCAAGCAATCGCCAGTACGATTTGTGGGCATGCTTGAAATGTATTATACTACAACCTTAAACCCCAAACCCTAAATTGTGGGAACCATAGTATGGTAATTGTTGAGGGATCCATGCTGGGCCCCAACATAGCTGGCCTCCATTGTCTTCCTTCCTTCTCCAGAAAGCATCTGACGGGACCTCCCTTGTCCGAATCCTGTAAGTCTGGAGCTTCCATGCCCTGCATGCAGGATCAGGCTGTCACTTGTACTAGCAGTGTGTGCTACACCGACTTGGCTCATGTGCCAAATCTCAGGAAGCCCACATATCTGTCGAGGCAAACACCGCTTTCGGAGCTTGGGCAATAGCTGCATAAGCAACGTTCATATGAGTATTACATGTTTCCACATCTAGGCCCCTGTAGTATAGGCGTATGTCCCTTGTCCATGACCAGGATTCGGCGGAACTATGACTTCGTCCGGGTTACGTCTAACCCTGCCTAACACCAACAGACCTCCACAACCCAACTATATAGATCACTCTGTAAGCAGCGGCCTAATTCAAAACCACTTTAAAGGTATCCATGAATGCCCAAGAAGAGTTGCAGAGGGTAGTCGCACCTAAGCCACAACATAAGCCACAAAAGCACCATGCAAAGATTAGAGGGTTCATCGAACCCAGCCCATCTAAACAGAACGAGGCCTCATAACAAAGTTGCTAGGCAGAATCGGAACGCAGCACGCTGACATGGGCCCTAAGCACAATTCTTATAAACCCCAAACCCTAACTGAACCACAGTCTAAACTCCTATTATCCCCCCTAATAACCCCGATACTACTCCCGCATAGAATCCCCTGTAAGGAGTTTTTTGCTATAGCTCATTTAATCCCCTCATGATCCCAGTTTCCATGTCATTTTCCATATGCTTTTTCAATTGATTCTCCATTATTAGGCGATCATATCCCTTAGACTATAGCTGAACTGAGCTTGGAGCTTGGATGAGCTGCCCGCTCAGCTTTCAGCGCAGGCCTGGCAGCTGCGGAAATTGGGTGACACGCAGCATGTCCATACTGTCACCCCGATAGACACCATGCTTACTAGTTCTCTGGGGTTATACACAATAAGAATGGGGGAAGGATCAGATGCAGCGCTACAATTCTTTGAATTCAGAGATGGATCGCTCAAGCACCGCATGGGGAAAACTCAAGTTTGAACTTACCTCCGAGGCTTTGCATCGCACTCACTGGCGCTCTGTTTTCTTGCGTGCATCACGGTGTCAAAGCAGCAACTCTGATACAAAGGGAATCAATGAAAGGGAGGATCTTCCCAAGGGGGCAGCGTCTCGCGTACGACGGCGTTTCGCTCTTGAATTAACGATCAGGGTCCAAACCCTGAATGTAGGCCGTTGAAACTGGCCTCAGCATGGCTGGCGTTG